ATACGTAAAAATGTACTTAAGTACAGTAACGAAGTACAAATACTGTGTTATATTCCACCACTGTCAGAAGCAGGGACTAAAATACTAAGGGGTAACGAGACTAATACTGGACAGGTGAGGCTGATTAACAAAGACTGGGAAAACAGGGCACAGATGAAACTAATTAACTCAAAGGAACTAAAACAGGGAAACTAAGAACTAAGCAAGAAACAGGGAAACAGAATCTAAGACTGGGGAATTACAGACAGGTAAAGACACAAGCAGGGTTACAAGGAATGAAACCAAAACCAAATACAAAATCACCAGACAGAAGAACTAAAAAAAACTCATAAAAATGAAACACTAGGGACCAAAATACAAAAACAGAGGAGGTGGGATTTGAACATAAGACTGGGGAATTACAAGTAGCCACATGCGCTACACGTTGAGCCATATGGCCATCAGGGAACAGGGGAAAACACAAAGACTGACAACACGAGGGACGGGATGACCAGCAACACCTGCTGGCCAAACGGGGAAGGCACACGGGGTGGAACAACCGGGCCTGATCCTGCCAGGTCCAGAAAATCTGGTTAGAGATCTTCCAGCTCCTTCCTATGATACCATTTAATTTTCACTTGTACTGGCATCTGTGAAAACTAGCTTAGAATTGCAATTAAATTTGCCATAATGTAGCCGGAATTCTACTTTTTATGGGAGTACATTAAGCAAATGCCAAGGAAGCCACATCCCTCTGAATGATCTGATATTATTAATGTTCTTGAATGTAAGGATTCCTCTATGAATTTCATGTGCATATGCATTTATAATTATCATTTACTCCATTTTATTATCACCTATAGAATCAGAATAATCACAGTGAAAAATGCCACATCCACATACTGTTATAATGGACAAATGTTCTTCTTTCTAGATTTACTATCATGGAGAACCAATTAACGTGAATGTCCATGTCACCAACAATACAAACAAGACTGTAAAGAAGATGAAAATCTCAGGTGACAGTAAGATTTATAATCAATGCCTGTGAATGTGTCCTGAGATCACTTTAAACTCACCAGTTCTGCGTGTTTGTTCATGCAGTGCGTCAGTATGCAGATATTTGCTTGTTCAACACTGCGCAGTACAAATGCCCTGTAGCAACAGAGGAATCAGAGTAAGTCTGAAAGCCACTTTCAAGACACTGTAAATGACCAGTGCAAGTTGTCAGGTTTTCATTCCATTTTGAGTATTGCTATCATTTTTATCCCCACAGTGACATAGTTGCCCCCAGTGCAACATTTTGCAAAGTATACACACTTACCCCGTTCCTCGCCAACAATCGGGAAAAGAGGGGTTTGGCCTTGGATGGGAAACTTAAACATGAAGACACAAATTTAGCCTCCAGTACACTGTGAGTACCCTAACCCTACCCCTCCTGAGAGCATCTCTCAATGTCACTTATTATGAAATGTCATCCAGACTTAATGCTTATTTTGAATTTTTTGTCTTTGGTCTCCTACAGACTAAGAGAAGGAGCTAATAAAGAGATTCTGGGCATTATAGTGTCTTACAAAGTGAAAGTGAAATTGGTGGTGTCTCGAGGAGGGTATGCATTTAAAAATGTTATATTATATTATTACAAAATCATTAAAAGACTGTTCTAAGCTGCTAATAGCATAATAGCACCTTATATCACATTGCATGCAAATGAAAACAAGCATTAATGGTAAAATCCACACATCCATACTACATCAATGTGTTAATGGCAAAATGTGTAATTTTGTATGACAGAACTACTTTTTTGATATTTAATAAACTTTAACCTAACCATTTTCAACTATATTTAACACTTTTTAGACTTCTGGGGGATCTTGCTTCGAGGTAATCCTTCCTTATGAATAATGGTCATTGTAATTGTTGTCCAGTAATAATAAATAATAGTAATGTATTAATACTGAATACTTTATGTTAGAGTATATTCTGTTTATTTTCTAAACTATTAACTGTTACTTCCCAGCACTGAAACATAAAAACGTATACATTTCCATTGTCCTTTAGTTTAAATTCTTAAAAATGGCCAAAGCCAATGTTGGGGATTAGCTTGCTACCAAGATCAATAGATATAATAGTTGAAAGGTTAAGATTTTCTCATAAATTTTTCTTTGATTCTTATTTTTCATGGATATAATTTTGCTTTATTTTCAGTGATGTGGCAGTTGAACTTCCTTTCACATTAATGCACCCAAAACCAACTGAGGAATCTTTCTACAAAGATGGTATGCACTTTTTCGATGTTATTACTGGTGAATTCTGTCTACATGGAATATCAATCACATGATATGTTAAATTTCACAACAGACTACTGTAAAGACACCTGTTTGTGTATGTTTTTGATATGTATGGTTTTATAGTGGCACTTATAAACATTTGCAGCCAATAAAATATCTGTCAGGTAGATGAAGTTTTTTTTTGTCCTGCTTCATGTACTTCAACATGGTGTTGTGTCACAATTATTGCCGTTATTTCTGTCTCAGTTTCAGAAAATGAAGCACCGCTAGACACAAACCTGATAGAATTTGAAACAAAGTAAGCCGATAGCTTAAGCCTTGCTGTTGTGCATTCTGCACTGCATGACCGTTAATACTGTGAAGTTAAAACCCCATTTCATATCCACTTCCTTCTAAAAACAAGCAAATGTACATATTAGTGATTGATGCAGTTCTTAAAACATCTTGGTTTATTTTTGCATATTGTGTTTTTTTCTCCGCTGCTGAACCATTGTTTTGGTTTGATTTATTTATTTTATTGACATTCTGTTAATCATGCTTTGTAGTGATGTTTCAATAATTTCACATATTCTATGAAATGTGCCTGCAAAAAAAGTTGAAAGCATAATGTACGAATCTTTTCCTAGTGATGACGACATCATCTTTGAAGACTTTGCACGTCAAAGGCTCAAAGAAGCAAAGGATGACAAAGACGATGACGAGGGGGGTGCCAATTCGCCCAGGCCGCAGGACAGATAATCATATGAGTGCTGTGTGCTGCACTGTGATGCTGTTTCACACCGAGCTGTCTGTGTCCTGCAGGAAAGCAGAAGCCATGGAGACCTTTAGCACGTTCACGGTGGTGCCATTGTTTTGTTTGGTTCATGTTTTTATGTTTAATCCACACAGAAATGTGGAAACGTAGGAAAGCAGCCTTTCAGCAAGGTAGAAAAGCTATGCTTTACAACTTAGAAGATGCCCAATAAGCAGAAATTAAAAATGGGGCAGGACATTCCATTTGGTACAGCATGCAGTTGTGGAATTCACAAACGTACAATATACAATAAATTTTTGTTATATCATTTTGTAACTTTTTAAGATGAAGCTGAGAGGCAAAATCCTGCCAAATTAAATTTATTTGTAAAAATGAATGTTATCAAGTAAAAGAAATCAACACACATTTTAGATTCAAGGATTCTGTTATGTTGCCAGTTTATCAGATGTTTACATTTTTAATTTTTAAATGTATAGATTTTTTTCTCTGTTCTGCATTCCTATGGACATCAAAACACTTATTAATTCTGGAAAAAAAAATCAAACAACAAATGCACATGCAATCTCTCTTTTTTATTCCATTTTAATACAGATGAGGTAAACAATCTCAGGAAAAAATATGCAGTGTTTTACTTACAAATAAATAGGACTCCTGAGCCGCAAACATATAAGGGCATGTGTAAGTATATCTGAATATCAGTTTCAGTATCATTGACTATAGGTGTTTCATAAGCAATGAAATATGAATCTTAATAGTATGTGCAATGCCGAAAAGTTACCATTTAAATGCAAGAGTGGCCTTGTTTTTACATGATGGATTATCTATAATCAGATAAAGTCTTTCGGTGAAAATAATTTTTGTTACGGGTGCAGTTTATTTTATTCATTTCATAACAAGTATTGTGTTAATGAAAAGAGTTGAAAATTGCTGGTAAGGAAGGGCATTTTTCAAGGGACTATTCACAGTTCACGATACTGATACTGTTTAGCTGTGAAATGACAAGTTATCCTGTTCTGGTTACGCCTCAATAGTATTTTTAATTTGTTTATTTATTAAAGGTAAAAAAATTAACATGAAAATATATCCCTTCCAAAGCTACTGTTTTAGCAACATAAAATTTTAGCATTAGCATCTTTTTAATTTTAAATGAAGTAAATTAAAATGGCTTGTTATTAGATTCTTATAGTGCTCAGCAGTCAAAGTAAGCTGCTTCCTACAGCCCTAATCTGGGATCAGTTTCTACTGTAGTACATGCTTTTATTTTACAAAGGTTGTTAAATAATATTTATTTGATCTTTTTTTAGAAGAAATGCACGTTAAATTTGTGAACTGACAAAGGTGAAGCAGAAGATGATGAATCAATGAACAGGCTATGTAATAAATAATAAAGTATATAGCTAATTAATGCAAGAAGGTCAATTATAAATAATGCTTAAGGAGTATAAGGTAGAATAATCTAGAGACACACATTTGCACTGCTATAATATAGTCATAATTCTACAGTCCTCTCCCCTCTACAAAATGCTATGAAATGCCAAATAATGGAAATAAATCTCTATGGAAAAATTGGGTCCAAATGTTTTCCTTAGTAAATGAAAGATTATGAGATGCAAGAATTAGGCAAGCTGGTGGTGTCAGATATTATTTTTTTAAAAACTGGTCGTATGATACAACAATGTAAATGTTCTGTATTAAGTTTTGTTTTCTTCAGGAAATTAAACGATAATCTTGAAAACACAAAATGTGTTTCAAAAGGGTAGACAAAGTTTGTAAAAAATTTTGAGGCAGATCACTATCACTGTATACATTACCTACATTTCTACATTCCTCTATAATTATAATATTTGTCCTATATAGCTGCGTCTAACTTTTGAAGTTACAGGGCTCCCTGTTGTTTTTCAAGTAGAATTATTAAAAAATATTTTTGTATTTTTCTTATTTATATATATTGAATCTATGAATAGTTTTGTGCAGCAAGGAAAATGACAGCAGGCAACCTTTTAATAACCTACAATATTGCATATTGCAATCTTTTATATTAATTTGAAGGTTTTTAAAACTTCTCTTACTATTACCTGAGATCTTTTAGATTTATAGATCAAAATGACTTCATTAAAACTCTCATGAAGATCAACTTTCCCGTTATTTATTTACCAGTCAGAAAGTATCAGTAATTATGTACGTACTGTTTTGCAATAGAGTGCAAATCTTCACAATGTTTACAAAACATAGCAGCATTTTTCAAATGAAAACACTTAATATCGGCATTTATTACTGGACATAAGGGATAATTTACATCTTATGGTAAATTAATCATTTCTGGAAAATGCTAGGTAAAAGAATGTAATTTTTAAATACATATATATATATATATATAGATATACATTGTTATGCTTGTGGTCTGCATCCATTTACTCAGCAGAATAAAAATCTATGAAAATGATATATCTCTTCTTTAATTCCACACTCACTGCCTGTACTGTGTTTAAGGTCTTGCTTTATTATTCTTGGGTTCTGTATGCTGTAGTAAGGTTAATAAAATATAATAGTTTATAGTAATTGCTTTCTATTTACAGTTTTGTTCAATAGTCGTCAAATCTTAGCATACCAAATTGAAGCAATGTTCTTTTGTCATGGTGGCTAATGTTTTGAGCATACTCGTATTTTACATATAGACTTTATTCAGGTTCATACAAACGATACAATTAATTAAAACATGTGAGATACTGCTGACATTTCATGCAGGGCTGTCATCTGCCTGCTCTGTGCTTCCTGGAAAAGACTCCAACTCCCCAATACTGGATACATGGATGGATATGAGAATATACTGTTACATTCACACATTAACAGAAGGAAAAACACGTTACGACGTATTTCAAATAAAAAGTAAGCGAAAAGTTTTACTTTAGGAAAGCATCTAGAAAGTCAAAGAATGTGAAGTTATCCCATGAAAGAGTGTCGATCAAATGTCGTGATTGTTCCTGCAAAGCACAATGTGTCTCACTGATTTGCTGACGCAATAGGGGGTAAAAATTGGGGGATCTATGATTTGTTGGGGGCATTGAGGCAAATAAGCTGTTGAGATACAGGTAGCGTTACATTCCAAGCACGACACACCACCTGGGGTCTGAAAAATGACATCTTGTGAAATTATATAATCAATTTTCTCTAGTTTTACCTATGAAAAGTGAGCCCAGTTCCCCTGGTGACATAATCACAGATTTAGATATCAATTGGGATGTGTAATTGCTTCCCTCATTTCCCTTAGCAATAGCTTGTCTAGGACCAGAGGTCTTTTATTGGCCATGTGCACCAATGCACTGGAATGCTTACTCGTTCGGCAATACCTAGTTCAGGCAATTATCTGGAGCCATTTTTACTGTGCAGTTATAATCTCATTAGTGTGGGCAGAGGAAGAGCTTTGTGTTCTCTGTTGAGATTACAGATCGTAATCATGGCTCATTTGTCTCTACTTTCCAGCAGAGCATCTTACCTAGCACAGCCTGTACTGCATATCAGCTTGTTTGGCATTGCCAGCAAGCATTAATGCATGCATGCCAGTTAAGCATGATTCAAATCACTTTGTGTTGCCATCCATTAAAAGTATACACTCTACAACACTCTTTTAACCATCTTTTTCCCCCATTATTGGACAGAATAAGCTATTTTTGTAGTATATACAGGGCCGGCCCAACCCTTTTCAAGGCCCTTAGCAAAATTCGATTAACCAAGTTGCCGTTTGTCCTCTTCTGTCCAATTCTGTCCAATAAATCTGATGGCCGCACCCTCGAAAGCAGCCACTTCGTTCCATTATGCCTTGGGCTGGTCCTGAATATATGTAGAGGTGGGCAGAGTTCCACTAATCCGCTAACTGATAATTAGCAAAGCTAACATTTTTGGGTAAAGTGAATAAAGTTTAACAGTCAACATTTGTGAACCCTAAAGTCATACATATTAGTTCCTGTTTGTTGTGAGCATGTCTCCAACGGTCTATTTGGCACGCTGTTGGCTGATGACATGTAAACTCAAGCCGTGATTAGTCGGTAACTTGGATTTAAGGTAGTCTGGGCTGAATGTAAATGAAAGAAGATAAGCTCAATTTAAACTGGTGTACCCTGAACTAAATGAAAAACATGGATAATTTGTCGGATTTAAGGTACCTGTCACACCGAGCTGGCGAGGGAAACACGGATCCAGAAGTACGGGGAAAGCCGGATTTAATAGAGCACAGATCAAGCAGTTACAGACCAGAGTTCTCTTAATACAGGTGGAAAGCCGGGCACTCAGGTCCAAACGGGGCGAGCGGTAATCGTGGTCGAGGGACGAGAGCGTGGGTCGAAAGCCGTGGAGTCCGTCCGACGAGTACACACACAATACTGGGTGACAGGAGGGTTGGACGACGATGAAAGCCGGGCTCAGCAGGACTGGAGACTCAAGGACGGGAACGGGACTGAGGAGGCAAGGGATAAGAGGTAAGGGTTTCACAAAAGGTAAACAGGCAAGGAACGGGAGTAAAGGAGAACTGGAGACAGACGAATGCTCGGTAAGGCTTGTCATAAGCGCAATACTTCGCAGTTGGCTTGTGTACTGTTCCTTCCTTAAATAAGGGAGATAATTAGTCCCTAATCCCCGACACCTGGTTGACCCGCCTCCGTGGGCGTGACAGTACCCTAGTTTAAATGGACTTTATCTTTGTTCACGTTAATCCAGACTACCTTAAATCTGACAGATTATTCAGGCTAAGCAAGAAATCCTGCTTTGTGATATAGGCCCCCGGTTGTATTTTCCCGGTGCTGACTGCTTGAGCTATAGACCAATAAAAAGCTGAGACCTTCCTTCCTAGTTCCAGGTAAACGATGCCATGTTTGTAGTCCCCAGATGGTTTCACTGAGGGCAAAATGTCAGCATGGGCCCATGCTGAACAGGGTTATGAAAGCCTGGATTAACTGTGGACAGCATAGGGCAAGAATGGGATACACCATAGATGGGATGCCAATCCATCACATACATACACACAGTCTTTAACAGGCAATATAGGGTTACACTTTACATTAACTGCACCTTCATAATACATTCATTATGCGTTAATAGAACATTCATAGTCAGCATGTATCTATACCTTAACATCCTAAAATACCTTAACAGCTTTAATATACATTAATAACAAACATTATCAGATTAAATGATTATAATGTTTGTTATTATCATATAATGTTTGTTTTAAGTGTATATTAAGGCTGTTAAGGTATGTTAGGATATTAAGGCACTACGCAAGTAAATGCTTCTTATGAACGCTCTATAAATGCATTATGTTGGGGCACTGAATGTTCTATGAATGCATTATAAAGGCATCATGAAGGTGCAGTTAATGTACAGTGTTACCCAATATAATGTTATCAATTAATGTAAATGCACCATGGGAGAAAATACATGCAACTCGGAGAAAACACAACAGAACTGACATGAGGAAACAGGGCATCGCAGTGAACCACCCAAAATTACAGATTTCTCTGCTGAAAATTGTCTCTTCTTCTTTCTAATACACTGTTTGCATACTCCTCCATTATGAAGCACTGCGTCATGGGATATCAAAATAATTGCTTTATACTGAAGCAAATGATTCTCCTTTGAGCACTTGCAGGCCATTAAAATAATGTTTTCTGTGGCCAGAGGCTATTTACTGGATTTTGTTCAACTATGCTGACATCAGTAGATGCAATCACTGAGACAGATATCTGTTTCAGCTCTAAACGAAGGCTTTTTGCACAGCTTCTAATAAGTAAGTCCAGTGAAAGCTCTGCCTTTGGCAATGTTTTGCATTTGGTAAAGAAAACGAAAAATATAATAATGTATTGTTGCTTCCCAGTGAAAACCGTGTATGTCCACTTTTTGAAGATTGTGACTTTTTACTATAAGAATAATGGGTAACATTTTAAAGCCATGTTTTTAGTTATTTTTAAAGACATTCATAACAAATAAACATGCATTCAAAAGCATTATAAACATGGCTATATATAGGTATCAAAAAGCACAACACATCACAGTAATGTCTATTATGCATTATGAATGCTTTATGAAGCTTTCATCTATAATACACTACAGATACCTTCATAATACATTATAAATGGTCGGTATAAGCATTAATGATGCTTTGTACTGCATTATAGATAACAGCTTCATAATGCATAATAAACATGACTATAGTGCAGGGGTGGGCATTCTTATCTGCAAAGGGTGTGTATGCAGGTTTTCGCTGCAACTCCCTAATTAGGTCACTAATTAGAGGACTGATTGGCTGAAGAGTCCTCACACCTGGGTTTGAATAGCTGACCTAAAGGTTATCCCAAAAACCTGCATACCCTTTGCGGATAAGATTGCCCACCCCTGCTATGTGTATCTATATCCATATCCATGTTTATAATACTTTATGAATGCATTATAATGCATTATTAATGGGTTTATAAATTACTAAAAACATTACCTTAAGTATGTATAGTATAGTGTGTTCATTTTTATGCAGAGCCTATGGCCGCGTGAACAAGAGGCCGCCCGATAGACTTCTGTTGACTCTCACAGCCTGGAATCCTAAATTCAGCTGAAGCAGAAACAGCCACACAGATTTTACACATAAATTGCAATTTCCATTTTCCATAAGCATCTTTCCTATTCAGGGTCATGTGGGTCCAGGAAACCATCAGCCCAAGGCAGGGAATTACCCTGGATGGGGTGCCAGCCAATCACAGGGCACACACTCCCTGCACACCTATGGGCAATTTGGTAACTCCACTACACATTAGCATATTTTTGTACTGTGGTGAAAACCAATACATTTTTACTGGATTAAGTAAGCATCCCAAAACTTTCTGTGAGCACTGTGTGTGTGTGTGTATATATATATATATATATATTGTTGCAATGTCAGCATTGTGAGACATGCTTTAGTAAATACACAGAAGCTGAGATAACAGACAACAATGTTATTGTGCGCAAATGCTAGAAAATTGCAGCACAGGCAGGGGACACAATGTATCAGTATGTAGGTTTGGTGGGAGTCCACTGTTTTCTGGTGCTCCGGCTCCAGGGAAATGCGTTGCCCAGGCAATACCAGTTTATATTCTGCTTTTAGCACTGCCCACATGAGAGAGAAGGAAGAGAAGTGTGACGTGAGAAGTAGATTTCATGCCTGATGGGCACCTGCTCTGGGTGCCAAATCACTGAACTGCTATAGAAGATCCTTTTCATTCAGCATATACTACCTGAAATAATAGCATTTGTGTCTGTTGTACTTTACAGTGTGGTATCATTCAGCCATACAAAATGTTTACTATTACTTGTAACAAAAGATATGTAGAATGTGTAGAATTCCTTGCTTCCTCCTCCCCCCCCCCCTCCATTCATTAGTTAAACTGAGTTATTGCTTAGTTTGTTAAATGTTTAACACATGAATGTGCACGAATGTGAAAAACTGGGGAGAGGGGTTTATGATGTGTGTTTATCAGATGTGTAACGGATTCCAGGTCAGGCCACAAAGTTCATATTCACAACGAGCAAACTGGGGGAGGCATGAAGAGAATTTCCCTATGGGGATCAATGAAGTATCAATTAATACAAAAGGGAAGACAAAGAAAGAAAGTCAGATGACAACAGAGGAGAGGAAGCCAATATTCTCAGGGAGTGGGGGGCGGGGGGACTGGTCCACGCCAGCCTGTGTAGGGTGGCATATTGAAGTCTGCATTCATGGTGTTACAGTTCATAAGTGAGGATAAACCTGGCTGGATGTCCCCTCCTGCCATGTAATATGGCGAGTCGCATCACTCCTCTGCTCTGAAAGTTTGTGCCACTCAGCTGTGTTGATGTGCACAGAGGCCATCAAGGCCACCCATGATGAAGATGAAACCACTGGATTTTATGTAGGAAGATGTGCTACAAGAAAGCATAAATTTGCTCATTATAAGCAACGGCTCCGATGCCACTTTGGCGATTTCTCATTGGTGCCATTGCAGCCCACTGGCCAGTCAGTTAATTCTGTTGAAGCCTTCGCAGATGTAATCAATGTACATGTGAAAAGGCTTATGCTGCATATGATTACTGGTGGAGATCAATGATTACTGATGGGGATTGCTGATGATTGCTAATGATTATCGAATCCTGGGGTGGCACAGTTGTGCAATAGTTAGCACTGTTGCCTTCCTCTGCCGCCCCCTGGAGGACGGGCTCCCCCTTTGGGTCTGGTTAGGGTTAGGGCTTCCTCTGC